TTGAACTTGAGTTGCTGTTGTCTTATTAGCTTATCAGCTCGAAGCAGTCTGCCCATTCTACCATGAACTCTGGCATCAACAAGGCAGTTTTACCCAGAGAAATGCCGCTCACTGAATATTTCCTCTTTTACAGATCATTCTCTTTATACCTCAGTGTTTCTGAAATACTAGGACAAGCACATCTGGCATGAACAACCATATCTATTTCTAAGTCACCCAAATCACCCCTATTCGCCACTCTGATGCTCCATTTGAACTTCAGCATGTTGTCTTGACCATATGTACCGGGTTGCTGACTAGATATTTGAGTAAATAGCTAAACAGGTACGCCTAATGAAGTGGCTGGTGAGTGCATGCATGATCAAAAAACCTTTAAAGAGAATATGTGTAAGAATAGACACTCTCTTTAATGTGTTATCTGCAAGCAATCAAGTAGGAAACTGAAGGAGCAGGAAAAAAGAGCCCCAATAAAAGTTACATACTACTTTACCTCTTAAAAAATGTAACGCATCCCGCAGCCATCTGATGCAGGGGGTGTCTGCCCAGCCCCCAGTAATGTCAGAACAAATTAATAATTTAATTAAAATAATTAAAACGCAAGGCTTGTGCAGAACGGGTACAATTACATTCCTCTAGTCTGTGTCTTTTTGCTGAAGAAGTGCTTTCATGATCAGAGAAACAAATAGCCACGTTCCACCAAGGACAGAGCAATTTATTGGGGCAAGAGAAGCATGCAAACACTTTTCTTGGTCTTTCTCATTGCCATCATCCAGATTAGCCACTAAACCTTTAGCCTTGAGTTTAACCATTCAGTATTCAGAGGATGATGGGTTGATTTGTAATCAAGGACATGAGGCTGTTTAGCATGCCAGTCATTTTCTGATAAAGACTGTCACTACACACTCTCCCATGCAGGCATATGGATCTCAGTTAATGAAGCCCTGTGAAAGGTTCTCTATAGGAGATAACAGCTCTCCACAGGGAAGTTAGAGAAACAGAGTATATTGTATGTGGGTGGCTGAATACATTTGAAGAAGAGGGGGCAGTAACCAGGTGAGCTGAATTGCCTGGTTATGCATACTGTATGTGCCTTGGGAAACTCAAACCTTTCTCTTCATTTGTCTTTATTTGTTTTTTGTTGGGAAAAAAATGAATATAAGCTGTTATAAACAAAACGAAAGAGAATAATGAATCACCACAAAATTAAAACGTTGAAAATCTGCACGGTAGTGTGTAGTTTCGACGTGTGAATAATAGAATGATATGAATGTGGCTGCATTTAGCGAGAGCTTGCCAAGAGAGTGATCTACTGAATTATCCTTAATTTTTACCTTGTCAAGAATTTAGAGGTGGGGGGAAAATACATAAAATCAGGCTAATCTGATTGCTATATAGTTACTCACTCAAAATATGAATGTTTTTAAAACGCATATATCTCAATTCTGGCAAAAAACAAACAAACAATATTACAGCACAGAAAAAGAAGTAGCTTCGTTTTACAAAAGAACCAAGGTAACACTAATTATAATGTTTGCAAAATAATTATTGCACGTTTGAGTGACAACACCAGCAAGAGGCTGAAATGCTCATCTACAAAATATGAGTGTCAGTTATTTGATGTTTTAATAGTGCTACTGCTGCTGTCCAATCAAGCAGCTCATCTGTAAATGACACTGAATATCCTGCAATATGATAACATTATTGTTATACTTTGTGCATTTTTCTTTAGCAAAGAAAGCCTACGAATTCTCTCTAATTTTCTTCATTCAAGATGTTTACCGAGAGGCTGATGCTACAGCTAGCATTAGTGTTCTGTCTAGATAATAAAGCTAAAAACTTACGTAGCTGCATGTGTTCCCTCACATAAAGCAGAGCTAAAAATCAATATCGAAAATCGATAAAGAACCAGATGGATCAGCAGAATCAATAGTGACACTGGTGTCAATAAAATCGTAACAATCCCAACTCCTAAAATGGAAATTGCTTAAAACGTTCTAGGTTGAGAAATACCTGAAGTTACAGTGTGTAAAATTTCACCACTAGAGGTCAGTAGATTACAGACTGCAGTTAACTGAGCTCTTTTTTTTCTTACATGAGTGCACAATTCTAGTTACAGTGGCTGCTGTAGGACAAAAAGTAAATGTAGTCGGCCAGTCTCCTCTTTATCTCATCTGTCCATATGTGTCCACATCTGTTTACCCCGGAGGAAGCTGTAAAACTTTGTGAAAGGAGTCGTCAAGTCGGTGAAACTCACTTCCACCCGATGAGAACAATAGGTGAGTTGTTGGGGATAACCTGAACTTTTCTGTAGCTAACCACTGCTGCTTTTGCCGATGTTAGCTGCTGTTAGTAAAGTGGATCTAACATTGGTTGACTTGGACACTTGGCAAATAAACTCTCATACGATGTGAAAATGTAATCAAACTGTTTATCAGAGAGAATGTGCACATTGAGTTGACACTTGAGCTCAACATTAGCTTGCATAATGCTGTTTAACTGGCTCAGTGTCAGCTGTCGGGAGACAGGAGGGGGTCACGTGTCTGATCTGCTGACAATAAGTAATTGTGACAATATTGGGAATAAATAAACATTTTTATGCAGATTTTCATGTGGTACAGTCCTGACTTTGGTTCAGGAGTCGAGGACTGAGATGAAGAGGATTGGGATGATGTTTTCTATAGATGCTGATCACGTTGTCTCTTTCCTTCTTGTTTTCACTTCTTTGGTGGAGGGGACCTCTGCGCAGATGATGAAACATAGATATCACCTTGAATCTGAAGGTGCAGACATGAATTAAAATTTGCCTCCACAGTAGGCGAATGCCTACGTGTTCTCTTCTCCTCCACCTTTGACATATTATGTATGTGGCCGATCTCTAGCCACATACATAAAACCCGATTAGGCTGAAGGATGATGTCCATGTAGGACATTGTTATCAAGTGGTCGAGATGGACTTCAATCATATTACGCATCATATTTGTGAATTATGTTTCACAAAATGTTTTATGTTTTGCAGTGCATAACGTTTTCAATAGTCGTCTCTTTTTTTAATGTCAGTCACATCAAATGTAAAAATGGCATATACATTAACCTTGCTCAGCCTTTACACAATTGATTTAAATTACATTTTCTAGACTGTCCTAACATTTGTGTAACCAGTGTTACCGTGTATCATTATGGGCCCAGCTGGAATTTCATTAGAATCTTTCACAAATACAAAATGTATTAAAACCGTGCTGCGATAAATTTTCATTAAAACTCTCCTTATTCACAGCTGGACTGATAAATATCCATGCCGTTATCAGAATTAATACCCCGATTCTGATAATGATGAACACAAATATTTTATTGATGAAGCACAAATGAATTACTGGCCTTCAACTAAACATGCACTCCCCTCCAAGAATAACTGCCAAGTCAAGACAGAGCATCTCAATAGAAAAACGCCTGAGATGAGAATTGAAAAATCAGCCTTGCGTGTCATCAGTACAAATGAACTGGCCTCCATGACTCTGGAAAAATGCCTTCCTCCGAGTCTCCTCTGCTTTTTGTTGTCCTATGAATATATTCATATAATCTCCTTGTGAGGGGGTTGTGAGCATTACTCACTGTCAGCCTGCATTGCTTTGTGGAGATTTGCATAACTCATTGGATATAATTTGTCCACAGGTCACTCCAAACACCAAAGCTCCACACTGTAGACACAAAGACACACCCTTACTATTCATTTTATGCTCAGAAATTGATCCAATGTAAGATAATTACTCTAGCAGCTCTACCGACAGCAGCAGTAGAACGTGTGTAAGTGCAAACCCATGCATTTCATGTTTTTATTATGTTTGGAAAGTATAAGCATGGTGCGGTTTGGGAGCTGTAGTAAACCAGAGTCAGAGAGCAATCCCCTCCAGTAGTGCTTTGTTCGATCAGCACGACAGAGTGGGATCTACGATACACTGACAGGAAAGGCTGGATTCGCTCTGCATGGCTGCTCAAGCTGTCGGCAAGGACAAGAAACAGGCGTCTGTGCAAAAATTGCAGATGCCAGCCTCTTTCAAGATGAATAAATATTGCAGATGAACAGATCATATTTTGGATGATAACAGAAAAAAAAACAAGCAAAACTAGACGAACAACAGAAGCTGCTTAAAGTGACAAACGTCAAAGCACCAAAAAGCAACTGTAAAGAAGGAGATTTATTTTAACAGCTTTTAATAATTTCTTTTAAAAACAACAACAACTAAAAAAACATTAAGCCCATTGGGCCTTTCATTCTGACCAACTGTAACTGGAAATACTATCCTTTGAAACAAAACTAACAAAGAAAAACAACCATACAACCACAAAAAGACTTAGTGGCACGAAAAGAGAGAGATTTGAGACAAATCCTGCTGTGCATTTCAGAGGCGGGATGCAGCTTCTCATCTGCTCCAGGGGGGATTGGACAAAAGCAGAGGACCATGGCGTTTTGAGAAATGGGGAGAGAGGAGGGGATGAGCGATAAGGATTCATTCTTGCTGACGCTTTAGTGTTCCATCAATAAATTGGGACAAACATGTTTTCATGTGATCGCCAAAGACTGGAAGGGGAAAAAATGGTCTGTATTTGTATTTGGGAAGAGCATGAGTCAATGGGGGGCAAGTAAACAAGAGCTGTATTGGCAACAAATAAGTGCTATTTTGGTGGTGGGGCGTTATGGGCTGGATTGATGCTACAGCAACTTGAGTTGTGTGCTGAAGCAAGAAAAAAGGGGAACAGTCTTTCAAGAGATTTCAGAATGACTGCACCTATACTTCCACACTTAAATAATTGGTTTCTGAATGCAAATGCCTGAGCCAAAAGCACTGGACCCAAAGCGGAATCCACTTTCTTTCTCACCAGTCCCTGATAACTACAGCTTTCAGGGAGCGAAATATAACTAATAAAACAAGAGGTGGACAGTCTATTCCAAATTATTTAATCACTAAATAAAAATTGGTATTTCAAGTTTGCTAGCACATTACCTGTTCTCATTTCGTTGTGTATATCTTGGTTGAGGGTCAGTATCTCCATCATTTACGTCATAGCTGGCCTCAGGGTCCTAAAAGAGAAATAAGAAAAGGTTATGACACCAATCAAGTGATTTTACATTTCTTTTAAAGAGCTCGCTTAATTGTTTTTTCCTCTGTGACTAAATGTTAAAAAAAAAAACAACCTGAAAAGCTGTCGGTCGGACCTTTTGTGTGCACAAGGGTTTTGGATGATTTTGATACAGCTAATAAAACAAAGGAAATACGAAATTTTAGTGGCTATAATTCTTACTGAATAGCATGAAAATTAAAATACATATCAAAAAGTTGCCCTTTTCTCATCACCAGTTAAAATAGACATTTTGTTAACTGGTTTCAAAATGCATCGTGTGTTGAGAAGTTTGGGACAAGAACATGTCCAGCTCCATCTCTGCTATTTGAAATTTATGACTTACGTAATTGCTTATGAGGTCGGGATGGTCCTTCTCAATGCCATCATCCAGGATAGTGACCACTACACCTCTTCCTGTGTAGCCCTGAGCCCAGGCTGCTTTTGTATTCAGATCTTGATGTGTTGGGTTGGACTGGAAGAGACAAAGGCTTTTGTTCAGCTGTCAATCTGCCATGACTGACTTTTCCGAGACAAAATGACAGAAAAAGGTCTGTCAGTGAAAGAAGGTGCTACATCTTCTGCGAAGACCTTCTCTGCTGCATGTTATTAAAAACAGCATCGCTTGATACACCTGACACCAAGAAGATACGAGGGGAGATCAGAGGTGCTTCATGAACATTTTAAACTCCCATTTTAATGCATCACCCCGGTATGTCTGCCTCCTCAGGATGAGTTGCCCATTGTGAACATCCTACTGTTGTTTTGCTGTCAGTGAAAAAGAAAGACAACCTGTTGCAGGTCAGGCATCTTGGGGAGAGAGCATTTGCCTCTCGTACTGAAGAAATAACATTCGGCAGCATTCGAGAGGAGAGGGAGGGAGGCAGACAAAAGGCAGCAGTAAAGCGTGATTTGGAGGAATAAGTGAAAATCTGTACAGCTCGAAGAATAAGGAGAGGTGAGTGCGAGAGCTGACAGAGATGGTTACAAATAAACACAGATATTCGGGAACAGAAAGACATTAAGATAATCTCCTCTGCCTCCTTTTCTTTTTCCAGTTTCCCTTTGACTTCACATTGAAGTGCACATAGCTGAAACTTATGAATACATTAAATACACATTATTAAATTCAGGCAGACACAACTCAATACATCACTTAAGTTTGCCCTAAAGTGACTGTGCTAAATAAACCTTTTATAAAAGAATTCTAAATCCCATAAATTTATTATGCGACCAAAACAGAACTGCAGCACTGGTGGTTTGTGCGTTCAGCTAAACCAGCTTTGTTTATTTGTTTGTTTAAGCCAGAGCTTTGCAATGTAGTTGAAATAGGAAAAAAAGGGTTTAAGGCCTGAGACGATTAGAAGTCTAATGCTGAATGGCAGAGGTAGTTCCACAACTTCTATTCACTGGTGATTTATGTCTGGGATAGTCAATGTTGTCATTAATCTGCTGAACTGACAGAGGTTTTATGTAGTTAAAAAAAAAAAAAAAGGGGGGGGGATTAAGGTGAATTGAGGCATCTCTGAGAAAAACTGCGAATAATGAAACAGACATGGAGGCAACATTATATGCTATCGATGCTTCACAGGTGATCTATCCTGACATGTAATTGCACATTCAACTCAACATCGTGGAAGGCACTACATTATATATTTGACTGAGAAAAAAAAGTTGCAGGAGGTTAAAACAGGCCAGGTAAAGAATAGCCCATAACGGAGCAACACATCTTATGATTACCAGACCAGCTGTATTTAAATATAAATCTTCCACTTCAACAAAGAATATAGCTTGGAAACAGGCATTCCTACAGCCTGCTACTGAAATGATTGAATACAGAGAGGGCTTGAAAATGTAAAGTGGGATTTCAAATGCATATGAGAAGCAGCCACTATATAGTCAGCTGACTGTACACCCACTTTATTTGTTGGTGAAGCATAGAGATATCTCTTTTAGAAAACTAGAACCATGCTACTGAAAATCTCATTATGTATGGTATTTCATAAGCATTTTAATTATTCCATTTCCCAATTTTAACATTTTAGTAATAATGTCAAACTAATGAGATAGATGGTAGGAAGTCTACACACCAGGTACCACTGCTTAGGGAAATCAGGATCCGTTAGGTCTTCATACACATCCCTCTTCTTCCTCTTTTTCACCACTTGCTGCTCTGTCCACAGGACCTGGATTGTCAAGGCACACACACGCGTGCACACACGCACACACACAAACAGCATGCACACACAAAGCAAACAAGCAAACCCACACGCAAAAAGAAAAAGCACAGTTTACTCAGGAATCCTCATGATATTGTGTCATTATTAATGTTCTAATTTGAGAAATTGTTGCTGTGTCCCACAGACTGGGGATGTAGGAAAACACGGTCCCAGCTGTGTTCAAAAAGTAATAACTAGAAAGAGAAGCAGAGATGTGAAGAAAATCTAATTTAGTTCATTGCTCAGATGCACAGGGAAGGTGGCTACTGTACAGTGTGCCTGAGCAGGGGCCTTTGAAGTTGGGAGGGCTGCTGGGAAATGCTCAGGCTCAGTAAGTAAGGGTAACAAGTCTTGCTAATATCACACATAGTAAATTTCATATAGTGGTTTTGCTTCAGAAGTTGCAAAAAACAATGCAACACACAATGTTAACAGGTCACACAGCAAATCAGTTAATGCCATTCAACATTTGGGTTTTCATGCTAATACCCATATATTCTGAACACTCTGAGTACATGAGACAGTAGTAAGAATGCTAAAAGAGACCTAGTTTAAATAGACCCATTTAGGTCAGCAATTTATATTCAAGCCGTGACAAAAAACAATAAAAGGACAGCATTCATATGCTTAACAAGGAATGCCTTGTTGTAGGGGTGTGCAAATAATCACATTTTAACTTCTATTATGATTGACAAATATTAAAAACAACTATTAAAACAAGGTTAAATTGACTATTGTGGTGTGTTCCATTACTTTGGATCCTCCATAAAAATTCAATTTCACTATCTGAAAAGCTTTAGAAGATACGTTTCTCATTTTTTAATTATTTTTTGAGTCTATCCATTTAATTAAAAACCCTAAAACAAAACCCAAACAGCCCACCCACCTCCAACAAGCATAACCCCATAATTATACGGGGTTTTGTTTATTTTTATGCAGAGCAGCTTTACCTCATGGTCACCTGTCAACTTGTCATCTATACAGAAAACACACAAATAATGCACTGGGGCATTGCTTTTTGTTTTTTGCTATACTTGTGTAACTACACAAAAGTTAACTTTCTTAAAATAAGGACAAAAATACTGAAAATACAATTCAAATACTGACTTGGGCTGAAATTATACTATAGCAGAGGGAATCAGCAGACAGTCGATTGAGTGAGCTTACAGCAGAGGTTTATTTTCTACAGCACTTAGAGCAAATGCTGTTCTGCATTATTATTATTGTCAATGATAAATGCATCCTTTGCTGATTTTTTTTGTTGAAGGTGAAAAAGCCCAAACTTGCTCTATTTGCATGGAGAACACTCAAGTGAAGCGTGACTAAACTTTTGAATTTCCTTTACAATGCAGACTGTCAAAGTACAACTTGCTATTTAACTATTTTAGGTCTTTTCAGTGGATTTTTTTTTTAGCATTTTGCAATCGCTTTGCTGCTGTTGGTGTTGTTTCTAATGGTGAGGCTTCTCTACTTGCTCGACTTCATAATTATATGCTTCTGTAAAGCACAAGGTCTGAAAGAAAATGTGTTGAGTACAGCTGCTGAGGGTGTAAGCTCCAAACCCAGCTGAAAACTTTGCCTTAGAGAATGCAGCCATTAACCTCATTGAAATGATCCTAGACTAATTAACATTTATCTCATTTCATTACATTTATAACTGCACATGTCTGACCTCACCGCACTGCTGCCCACTGCCCGCCACATTATTAACGGAGCAAAATTACCACCCATGATAATCTGCATACAGCCATCGACTACAGGATAAACAGCATTTCATTTATAGCTAAAGCTGACTTCAAACATAATTAATGCAATCTCTTTTGCAAATTGAGCAACATTTCAGCAAGACGACCTCCTCTTAATAACTACAAAAAAAAAACAAAAAAAAAGGGGGAATCAGTTTATTTCTGAAGATTAAGTGATCTTTGGAAATTAAAAAAATATACTTCAAGTGTTGGGCAGGGACAAAGACTAGACAAATACAACCACCTGCACAAAGAAATAATCAAGAAACAAGGAGGAGGTCTCCACAAGGGCTAGCACTGTAATCTGCTTGAGCAATAAACATTTGTTCCATCTCTCTCAGTGTGTCCTGAGGGTTTTCATGTCTGATGACTAAGAAGAAGTCATGCTGGAGTTGTTGGCAAAGCAGAAAGAGAGAGAGAGCAGTGAAAAAAGACACACTGTCCTTTGATCTATAGCTCTGTGGCTCACTTTAAAGAGAAAGAAGGAAAGAAAAAGATACGTTTAGGGACTTTTTCCATTGCTATTTGTATGAAAACATCCAATCAAATGACAATCACCAATAAATTGATGCCACTAACTACTAAGGCTGGGACTTATAGCTGAAAACACCATGATTATATTCATGAAAAACATATCAACGAGACGGTTAATAAGGAGGGTATTATTCTGTCTGCAGTATGCTTTGGAAAGTTTAGCAGTGAATGTAAACATTCCTAGTTTGTTTAGCAGGAAATCTCACAGGGGGCCTTTTAATTTGAAGCTAAATTGAAAATGTCATATTGAGCTCAGGACTGAAATAACTAAAGATTTGTTATTGTAGGAAACTATCGTGTCAATCAGACTGCAGGAGGGGTTGCTTGGAGACAGAGCATGCAAATAAAAAAAGAAAAAAGAAAAAAAAACTGTAACAAATTTTGGGTATCTCATGCATCATTGAGATCCATATATTTCACAAACTATTTAGTCAATAGCCTTTGCTGCTCCGTAATTGATTTTACAGACTAGCCATGCTGCACAAGCTCCAATATTATTTCTTGATATGGAATTATTTCACAATAAAAAGTGTCAAAAGCAACAAGAGAAAAACAGACAACACGTCTTTTAAAGAATGATTTTATTGAAAGTACACTTGTTTACCTTAACTTTTCAATAAAGACAGATATTAAATATACATTCATCTATTTACAGCAGCACTTGTAAGCCTGCAAAGCTGATCTCAGGTTTGCACGCTGATGTGAGAGTCTGATTACCATGTAAAGGTAGTCTACAAGTATGAAGATCAGCACCTGCTGCTGGGAATTGGACTGTGATGATGGAATACAATGAACAAACCATCCAGAAGAAACGGCATATGTCACTGGAGCGGGAATGGTACACCACTGGCCAATTTCTGAGTAGTAACGGTGGATAAGGCATCTGTCTTCCTTTATTCCTTAATGCACTATATTACACTGCATTACAGCTGCCCATTTTTACATTTCCTACATGCCTCTGGTAATGCAGCCTGCACACACGAAGGCAGCCTCTCATGCAGTTATCATAAATTACTACAAGTAATACCTTTTCTCGCGGGTAGAGTACTATAAGGTCTTGACCCTACAATGTAAAGTACACAGAGATGACTGTTGTGAATTGGCTCTATATAGATTTATATGAATCAAATTTAAATTTATCATTGTCATTGGAGGATTTTGTAATAATTATTACAACATTTTCTCAACCAGCTCTTCTACAATTTCTGCTCTAAAGAGATTTTATCCAGATCCAAGAAGAAATTGAATTTTTTTATTTAAAGATTTAACTGAATTTCTTTCCTTTTTGAAAATGGGACTTTCTGATCCTTTTAATAAAGAAAAATTAATAAAATAAGAATCTGAAATAACATTCATAATAAGATAAGATGGCACATACGCACTGCCTTTATGGTCTATGCCCTGCATAAACCAATGTACTTATGTGAATAGTCCGCCCCGAAAGGCCACTCTGAGTCACAAAAAACCCTGCATTAACAAGCACTGTCTGTATATCCAAGGCTTCAGACACTGAAAGCATATTCCCTTCTGCAGCTTTAGTGTTGTCTCAACAATAAAAAGATCAGTGAGCCAGACATTACGACGAGCATGGTTTATTTTGAGGTGATTACACACATATTGCGCTGGTGCTGTAAATCAATGATGGCTTCTTCAAGGGTCTGGAAGATAATATCGAGGAATATTCACGACATGACGAACAGAAAACAGATATTCTTCATCTCGTTTGATTTTCTTCTTGTGAATTATTGGATCACTTTAGTTTTTTCAAGCCTTTGAAAAAGATTAAAATGAAACAATATAAGGAGGAGGAATCGCACTGTCTTGAAAATAATCAGTCATGGCCCCGACAAATGCATTTTTTCCCCACCCTCTTGTTCCTCTTGTGACTCATACTTAAACATTTACGTCAGTAGCAACCAGTGGGCTTGGGGCTGAATGCCAAGCTTGGTAAGTCATGAGTTCACTACTGAGAGGCAGACTAATGTATTATTGGTTTTGGTCTCCTAACGGGATTTGTTGACAATAATAAATGCAGAATTTTGTCAGCCTCATCCAATTTGGCCTCATATAGCAACTAAAAATCCAGCATACTTTTACAGCCAGAGTGAAACTTTCTAGTAAAACTGTACGAGAAACAGATGTAGTTTAAATTCCAGCCAGGACACTGTGCACGCTGCCTTACACTACTGTTCATAAGAAACCCAACAGTAGCCGCCCCAAACAAATCAATTCTTTCCCTCATAAAGATGATACGGGGTGTGGAGAGGAGATGACAAACAACTCTCGCAAGCATTATGGTGTAAGCTTATGCAGCTGCCAGTGTCATCATGCCACTGCGTGATTATTCAAAAGGGATGGTGATAAGCACGTTAGCTCCACAGAGCTGAGGAAAAGAGACAATGGAGGTAATGTGAGTTACAGCTGCTGGATTACAGAGAGGAAACACTGTAACGAGCTCAAAGCTCAGCAATGACTAATCCAAATCCAACCATTGTCTTTTTATTTATTTATTTATTTGTTTATTTGGAAAAAAAAAAAAAAGGTAAAGCAAAACCTTTACTGTTCTTTATTTTTTCCAGAGATCAGATGGTCTTACAGAACCATATGATTACACAAATGCACTTAAATAAAAACACAAAAACAAACCCACTCACTTATGCTTCTGTGGCACATTTTTGGCAGTGGTCA